TGGTCTGGATAATTGCACTCGAACAGTGGTGCTTCCTGAGTCCTGCAGAACCTTGTGTTCGCCTCGGGCGAAGGATCAAACAGTTGGATTTGCTCCTTTGCTTGCATACAGAAAATATTTGGAAAAATGGGAACCCGGAGGAGGTTTAAAGTGGTCATACTGGCGCAGCCAACCCAACTTCAGCCTTCTAACAGATCATCTAAAGGTTACTCTGCTCAGAAGAGCCGAAAGGTTGTTTATTTCAGAGATTGGGATTGGGGGAGTGTTGCCTTGGCAACCTTTTATGGCTTTGGCTTTGGCGAGTTCAGAGGCGGTGCTTGGCGTTGGCCTGGGATGCAGCAGGCACACAGGTGCTCTGGCCCAAGCAGCTGCCTCCCCTGTCAGATAAAGAGCGGTTTGTTGTTTTCTCTCCTCTTCCCTCCAACGTACACGTCAGTCTCCCGCGCCCTTTTCACTGCACGGTCTCGTCTCTCTTCTTTTTTCTTTTTTTCTCTGTGGCCTTTGATCAGGGATTGGATATGCTAGTAGAATGGCAGACGCAGGAAGTGCTTGGAGGCGCAGGGGGGGCCCAGGGGCCCCAAGGGCCAGGGCAGAAACTCTCAACAATGTTCTCTGTTTACCAGTGCCTGCGTCATCCATGGCCTGGCCTGGCCCTACTTTTACAGAGCCTGGCTTTCAGCCTTGACTCCCATGACAGTCTATCTGAGGGTAAGACGGCTGCAGATTTCGGTCCACCTGGATAAAACCAAGGGGACAGTAGAATATTTGTTCACAAATGCTACTGGGAATATATATCTATCCCATGTTTGATCAAGAGATCCCCTCCCAGCCTATTTTAATTTAAACTCTATTTCTATATATAGTATAGCTCCCAATAAAAGAAAGCATTTTATAAACATTCAAATTAGTAAAAATCTCTTTAATTAAAACCAATAAGGTTGCGTTCCCTACAATTCCTCATACTTAGGATTATTGCAGCGACAACGAAAAGGAATGTATTTCCAGTGGTAAAAATGCACAATCGGATCAATCCTGTGTTTACCCAATTTAATCAATTCATATATTAAATAAAGTCCAGAACTTTTTCTACTGGAATATTCCATTTCAGCTGACCATGTATTGGAAATTTGTAAAACTGTTTAGTCACTGATTTTGCAGCAATTCCTCCTCCCCATTCAGTGGAAGGTACAACAACTCCTTTTTAACTAGAAGAAACCTGCAGACTCAACTGTTGTTCCAATCAATCAATGAAATACTATGACTAATCCCTAATCTGATATTTTCTCAAAAATGTAGTGCAGTTGATCTTTAAAACATAAAATTCAAATTACACTCTGAAAAGGAAAAAACTTTTTAAAATGCTTATAGTTTGCAGAGATGGGTAGAAACCCACAAAAATGAACTACTTAATACTTGCACTACTTAAATATATGTTTACTCCAGTGATATTAAGTAAGTATTTGGTAAAACGGTCACTCAAAAAGCAACTGATAACATTTTATTTTTCATCTAAAATGATGCTTTTTGATAGACAAATCTATCAAGTTCTATAAAGTGCAGGTAATTAGAAGACGACAATAAACCAATCAATGCAAATATAATTTAAAAATGAAAATTTTGCACAGAAAAAAAAATGTATTCAGGTCAGATTATTTCAATATATACCTAATGAAACATTACTTATATCTTAGAATAGGTTAAAGTACTTCTATGCACAATATCTACTTTTTTCGGTATTATTAAATTGACACCCAACTGCCACAGCAGGCTCAGCAGATAACGAACATTAAAATACCAAAGCTTACATAGAGACAATAGTACGGTGGCCCTGAAGTGCAAACTGCAACTACAAATCTAAAAGGGTAACTACATTAAGGAAATCGCAACTACATAAAGCAAAGCGCAACTACATTAAGGAAAACACAATTACATTAACCTACCGGAAAAGGTAGGTACCAGTGGGAAACATGAGACATCGCTGATTGGACGACGGGGCCTTTTGACCCTTAAACCGGAAGTCATTCTGCCTGCTGCGGCTTTTGAAAACATGGATATTGTCGGCGCCCCAAACATTTTGAATCAGGACATACGTACGAGGTGATACTGGATATGCTCAAGACTAATCACGAAATTTCAGTTAGTTTGCGTTCACTGAAGACACACTTAAAAGAAGCTGGACTGTTCAGACGACGCAACTTCCGGTTCAAGGATCAAACGGCGCCGTCAACCAATCAGCGATGTCTCATGTTTCCCACTGGTACCTACCTTTTCCGGTAGGCTAATGTAATTGTGTTTTCCTTAATGTAGATGCGCTTTGCTTTATGTATATATGTCACAATATTATTTTAGTATAGTGCAGAAACACAGAAGACTACACACAAAACTACTCCTGAAAGTTTTTTGTTAAAAAAAAAAAATAATAATAAAAATACTATTTATAAATTCCTACCAGCTGTATATAGTTTGTTGTCTTTATTAGAGAAGTCAGTGATTCAGCTTGAATACTTTTTTTTCCAAAACTATATTTAAAGATTTTCAATTATACGGATACAAAACAGACAGTGTGAATCAGGGATTTATACATGTATTAAAAGTAATTGTGGCATGTCATGCTTCGTAAGCCCAAGATACATAGAACATTTTGACCAAACCTACCAAAAAATAGAACAAAATACTAAAACTAAAAAGGTAAAGAAGAGAAAAAAAAACTTATCAAATATCTCAAAGTATATGTATGAATACTGACATGCAAATCTAAATACACAGCATGCAGGTTACATAACATTAATCTAGAAACACATACATAGTGTTGTATGTACACATGTATACATATATATAGAAACTACAGGTGCTGGTCATAAAATTAGAATATCATGAAAAAGTAGATTGATTTCAGTAATTCCATTTAAAAAGTGAAACTTGTATATTATATTCATACATTACATACAAACTCATATATTTCAGATGTTTATTTTGTTTAATTTTGATGATTACAAATGACAACAAATGAAAATCTCAAATTCATCATATCAGAAAATTAGAATATTGTGAAAAGGTTCAAAATTGATGGCCCCTGGTGCCACACTCTAATCAGCTAATTAACTCAAACCACCTGCAAAAGCCTTTAAATGGTCTTTCAGTCTAGTTCTATAGGCTACACAATCATGGGGAAGACTGCTGACTTGACAGTTGTCCAAAAGACGACCATCGACACCTTGCACAAGGAGGGCAAGACACAAAAGGTCATTGCTAAAGAGGCTGGCTGTTCACAGAGCTCAGTGTCCAAGCACATTAATAGAGAGGCGAAGGGAAGGAAAAGATGTGGTCGAAAAAAAGTGTACAAGCAAGAGAGATAACCGCACCCTGGAGAGGATTGTGAAACAAAACCCATTCAAAAATGTGGGGGAGATTCACAAAGAGTGGACTGCAGCTGGAGTGAGTGCTTCAAGAACCACCACACACAGACGTATGAAAGACATGGGTTTCTGCTGTCGCATTCCTTGTGTTAAGCCACTCTTGAACCACAGACAGCGTCAGAAGCGTCTTGCCTGGGCTAAAGAGAAACAGGACTGGACTGCTGGTGAGTGGTCCAAAGTCATGTTCTCTGATGAAAGTAAATTTTGCATTTCCTTTGGAAATCAAGGTCCCAGAGTCTGGAGGAAAAGAAGAGAGGCACTTCAGCCACGTTGCTTGAAGTCCAGTGTAAAGTTTCCACAGTCAGTGATGGTTTGGGGTGCCATGTCATCTGCTGGTGTTGGTCCATTGTGTTTTCTGAGGTCCAGGGTCAACGCAGCCACATTCCAGGAAGTTTTAGAGCACTTCATGCTTCCTGCAGCTGACCAACTTTTTGGAGATGCAGATTTCATTTTCCAACAGGACTTGGCACCTGCACACAGTGCCAAAGCTACCAGTACCTGGTTGAAGGACCATGGTATCCCTGTTCTTAATTGGCCAGCAAACTCTCCTGACCTTAACCCCATAGAAAATCTATGGGGTATTGTGAAGAAGAAGATGCAATACACCAGACCCAACAATTCAGAAGAGCTAAAAGCCACTATTAGAGCAACCTGGGCTATCATAACACCTGAGCAGTGCCACAGACTGATCGACTCCATGCCACGCCGCATTGCTGCAGTAATACAGGCCAAAGGAGGCCCAACTAAATACTGAGTGCTGTACATGCTCATACTTTTCATGTTCATACTTTTCAGTTGGCCAACATTTCTATAAATCCTTTGTTTTTATTGGTCTTCAGTAATATTCTAATTTTCTGATATGATGAATTTGAGATTTTCATTTGTTGTCATTTGTAATCATCAAAATTAAACAAAATAAACATCTGAAATATATGAGTTTGTATGTAATGTATGAATATAATATACAAGTTTCACTTTTTAAATGGAATTACTGAAATCAATCTACTTTTTCATGATATTCTAATTTTATGACCAGCACCTGTATTTTTGAACAGGATATAAAAGCATGATAAAGATTTTTACCTTTCCGTACAAACTTAAAGGTAGCTGATTTTATCATAGTTTTTTAGAGGATATGTGGACTTTTTCAATCTAATATGTTTTTGTTTTGTTTTTTTCCGCTCTTGACTTAAAAGTTTCCCGCTTGTTTGCTTCATCCCAGCTTGTTTTTCCGCAGACGGGTCATCCACCTTCACCTCTCTCCTAACCACGTACTGGGAATAAATTACACAGCTGTAAGGTGGCTGACCAACAGCAGCTCTCTGTCCGAGCAGCACCTGATTCGCCTGAGCTCCCCTACGACACCCTGCCCTCCTTCTACTGTTTACCATCCGGCTTATCCTGTTTATTTGACTCGATTACAAAACAGAGTCTGTGAGTGATTTGTTTAAAGTGGTCCCCCGCCAGGGAAAAAGAAAACCATGTTCCATGGATTCCCAGAAAACTGAGCATATTTGGTCACTGAGGCCATGATGATGACATGTCAGAGCAAGGCTAACGCGGCAGGGCTCTATAGTCACAACTCAGCACAAACTGCAGCCTTGACAGTTTGCACAGGCCGTCCTCACATGCATTCAGACTGATTCGAGATAACCAAACTGCGTGACTGTGATGAAAGACTTGGATTAATGAGTGACCCGCAGGATGGTCGTGCGTGGCCTCACCATTTAACTTTTTCAGGCCTTGCAGATTCTGGCGTCTCTGTTTTCCTTTCCCTTCTTCTGAGTAGAGGTTAAGTTCACATTATCCCCTCCCCTTCAAGCGCTCCAAATATTTTTGGAGCCTCTTCAATAAAGGCATGCAACACTGGAAAAAATGTAGGCAGCTGTTTGTGCTTTCAAGGCTTATCTTCCCTTGTAAAGGCATATCTGAGCTTCCAGCAAACACAGCAAGCAGCTGTAGCCAAAGTGAGTCAAGAAACAGCAAATTGGAAATCAGGGAAATATACTAACCCCCCCGCCTCAAAAAAAAACAAAAAAAAAACAGCCTCTCCTCACCCTAAGTGGGTAGAGAAAAGTGTATTTTTCGGTACTCTAACTGTGCAGTAATTCTAATTCATCTGGCAGCCATGTGAGCTGGTGGGTATCTGAGAGTCCTCTTGCTGCTGAAGGATTACAAGCTGCTCAAAGCCTCTGAGAAGGTATGTGGGTTTGGATGGGCGATGTTTTTCCACAGCAGTAAACGGTATTGGAGTTAATTCTGTGCTTTGGCTCCGAGCTGCAGCTGGGAAACAACTTCTCTGTGCCAGAGGCTGTTTATTATTGCAGAGAGTTTTTACCCAAAATGGCAATTCAGCTACTGTGGTATCCATGTTGTTCTGACCTCGTTGCATAGAAACCAAGCAAGTGGCCGAGTTGAGGATAAGCACAAGCAAAATGCTAACATGTGCACCCACACACGCACATGTTGTTTAGATAGTGTGCAAACACTGCAGATCACATGCTTTGTGGAAAGCTGTTATTTTAAAACTGACAAAGCACTTTTGAGGTGAAGTCATACAATGCTCTGCAGAAGTATTCATACCCCCAGAATTTGTACACATTATTTCTAAAATATTAGGCATTCTTTGGACAACTGAGGACTGATTTGTTTTTTTCCATTTTTCTAACCCAAAAAAAACTTGATTTAAATTTCTCCACAACCTACTCCCTGACCAGTCTGATGTGTTATTTGTTCTTCATGGTGCATTTTGTTCAAAAACTGCTTTATAAAACTTCTGAGGCCTTCACAGAACAGCCAGATGTATCACACTGGAAAAAACTATCTAAAAATGAGCAAAAATGTCTTAAATTAACTGCATTTACTCTTCATTTAAGTAGATAAATGAGATAATTTGCCAATGGAATGAGTATTTTTACTCTTAAAATTAGATATTTAGATAATATGCACTTTAAATAACACAACGCAGTTGTGTTTTCTTATTTTAAATGTAAATTGTCCTGTTCCAATGGCAAAGTGTCTCACTTACCTCCTCAATTCAAGATAAAAAGCACTTACCGGTATTTTAAGAAAAAAAATTATTTATCTAGATTTCGATTTTTTCCAGTGCATAGTGTTAAAAGTGTTTCTCCCCTACAGGTTTAAGGATAAATTTCTATTGGTTATAAAGTCAATCAATCATTTAAACAGAGTCTGTCTAATCACATGAAGTGGGATGAAATATTAAAATAGCAGCACATTATGCTCCAGTCTATTTTTAAGGCTCTGGTAGCAACATGGATAGCTGTTATTCATAGTATTAATATTACAGGAATATCCTGTCTACAAAAATTACTACAAGAGCAGATCAGTGACTCACCCAAGAAGTCACAAAGTCACCCAAAACAACCCCTAAAGTATTGTAGATCTAGTGTTTCTCATTAACCTACAAACTAAGGTAATAGGACCTCCACCATCAACTCAATGTTGGGAAAAAAAACACTGTTCAGTGGCACGTTTCCCCCCAAAAAATCCTATATCCACAGGATATTTAGGAAAATGTTAGCATTTGCAGACATTAGCAAGAAAAGTAGCCGCACACATGGTCGGAGGCTGCTTCTCTTCTTCCGAACTGGACAACATTTGATGAAACCATACATTCTGTTCTCTAACTGAAGCATCTGAACAGGCTCGTGTGGCAATCAGTCTGTGAGCGAAAGTTCAAGGGCTCTTCAGGCGATACAGCAGGACAAGATCCAAACCACTAGCTAGTTCCCTTCCGGATGGATTAAAAAAGAAATAAAAGGTTTTTTGGGGTGGCCTAGTCCAGCTGTGTGCCTTGTATCTGGAGTGGTATAATCTTCACCAGGTCATTCAGTTTGAAAAACCCTCCAATATGGCAGAATTCAAACTGCAGAGTGTACAATAAATGATGCACAATAAATGCTTTTTTTGCTGCAACTTATTTAAATATATTGACACATAAGCAATACTGAATAAAACACATAACTGAACAGATTCTGCTCACTATGTGTCAAGAAACCAGTCACTTTTGTCTCTTTCTTTTCCCAGTTAATACATATAAACAATTATGTTGGAGTTATAATGTATTTACAGATTAATTACTATATATATTATCCATCTTTAAGGGGAGCTTATTGTAAAGTAGTAGCAATTAGGTTTTCTTTTCATAAATGACATCATTAATCATTAATTATGAATAACTAGTTAAGTAAGGCAGTTAGAAATGCAAACACTGTTAAACACTTATTAACTTCAGTGAATACTGTAGTCACTATCTGGGTGACTCCTGAAAGAAGCTGGTTGCAGCAGATTTAATAACGGAGTTGCAAAGTAAAAAGCAACAGCTTTTTTATTTTTATCTGGTGAAAAAAATTATAAATCATTGCATATTTTTCTACATTTTAACAATTATATAGTACTTAAGGCTTATATATCATAACATCCCCTTAAAATGCATTAAGCTTTGTGACTGTAGAGTAACCACACATAAAAATGTTTGATTCTGCAAGACACTAAATGGTCTCGATCTTACTTGGAGCTGTTGCTATATTTTCTCCCAAGGCTTTTAATGTTTTTTTGTTTTTTTTTTGGCAACACACTTCAAAAGGACAAACAGCATCCTGCCATAGAAGCAAATCCTCATCAAAACAATGAAAGAGCCAAGGGAAAATTAGAAGGCATGCACACAATAATGGAGCAGAGAGTAAAGGATGGGTTAACAGTGCACTCAGAGCTTTCATTTCCTCTTCTGTTCCATCTGAGCAAACAAGGCGGGTGACCTAACAGAGCAAAGAGGGGCGGGGCGGGGTGGGCTGGGGTGCCGTGACTGGAATATAACCAAACAGAGAGGCAGGAAGGGGAAGGGAAAGGACACGCCGACCACGTGACTGTGAAAAGCCTGCAGGCTGGTCTGCTGGGAAAGGCAGACAAATAGAGAGAAAGATAGACATCCCCCCCATATTGACGCTGCCGTTTCACCACAACAACAGTTCTGGGAAATGGCCGTCGTCTGTACTGTATCTACTGTTTACATGGACCGATTCAGCTTGCTTATCGCTTTCATCATCCTTTCCCTCATTGAAGGCCTTCAGTCTTCCTCTTTTTTTTCTCCACGTTTTTAGACAAAACTTCAGGATTCATGAATGGAACCATTTGCTGATAAATGCAGAGCATACAATACGTGCAAGAGGGGAATGGTAAACATGAAGGCATTTATGGAGAGTTGGGGGGGGGACAGTAATGTTCAGGGATGGAAACAGGGAGGGGGGCGTGGAGTCTGGACCAGAAACACTAGAGACATGAGTCATGGCGTGCAGTCTCCCAGGGGGCATATTGGTGCAGTCTATAAAAGGAAATAGAAAAACAGCGGCTTCCCTCGCCCACCCAGGACTAGGTTATGCCTTATTAAAATCTGATAGCTTATGACAGCAGCTGTGTTGTTTAGTCCAAGCCTGTGTATCACCCACCCCCCTTCTTGTTCTCTCTTCTGTGCAATGGAGAAGTGAATATAAATTAAAAAAAGTAAGCTGCTTAGAGTCAGAGCAGTTATCCTGGGATGTAAATGTGCCACTGAAAGCAGGTCAAAAGTATCTGAAAGTGGGAACGCTTCATGTGAGCTTCTGCCTTTATTTTCATCTCACTGAAAGCACCCCACATCTGTTAAAATAAGTTGATGAGTGACATGAACTAGTTAACTTGGATCCTTAGTTTCCCCTTGGCTACCCTGCTGTGGAGCTGGCCTAGATTAAACATTGTCAGATATCTGGGACAACCTCTTAAAAAAAAGAAACAAAACCAAGGAAAAAAACTGCTCTGTCTGGTGAAAGTGACCAAATGGCAAAGTCTACCTCACGTACACAGCCTTCTTAAACACATTTACCAGTCCTATTATATATGACGTCAACTTCAAGTTAATTATTACAACGTTTTACAAAAGAATTGCCTGAGCTCATTAATCTTTAAAGAATAATACTCTACCTCTGGTCTTATTTCAGGCTATTTTGGATCATTTATAGTTTTATGTCATAATTCCTCCTCCATACTCCATGACCTTTACAGCATGCTGTATTTCAGCTCCGTAAACAACATAAAAAAAACTTGTTAAAGTCCCTTAAGGGTGCATAGTGACATTAAATGTCTATATAAAAAAAAAAATCACTTGATCATGATGAAATAAGTTTATATACACCAAGCGTCCATCCTGATAGTTTTAGGATTGGCCATTTTGAGCCTAAATAGAATTCCTACACTGAGCTTGATGAGTTGGCATAAACACAGGTGGCGCCATCTACTGACAGTACAGCTGAACTATTAGAAAGCTACATGGTGAACAAAGAGCGTTAGTGTCATATGACCTGAGTATGTGCCTTTAAAGTTGTTTCCATCTACAGCTCTTTGTAAGAATATTAATACCCTTGAGCTTTTTCCAGATTTTGTTTCTATTGCAGCCACAAACCAGTAGTATTCTATAGGGATTTTATAGGAAAGTACTATTCTACAGAAGCGTTTTCAAAGTATTTTAAACTACAGATAGTTTTCCAAATTTAAAGACAGAACTTTTTTTTTTTAATCGTCTTTTCGATTCACTCAGTCAGGTTGGATGGCACCTGTAAGCAATGTTTTTAAGCCCTGCAGCTGTGTCTTAATTAGTGTTGCTCCGATGCCACTTTTTGGCCCCGATACCGATACCTGATACCTGGCTGTGCAGTATTGGCCGATACCGATACCATACTGGTACCATCTGTTTGAAATTGACGTGTGTGTGTTTATATATGAAGAACTACATACTACCTGGATGTCAAATAATTGCCATCATGGCTTTGTCAAGCTGCTGCCTACCTTTGTGAAGCAGGAAAAATACTAATACAACGTGAATACTGACTTGGGAGCTGGCTCAGAGCTCGTCTGCCTGGCTGTGTGTTTCCTGGACGGGGCCGCTTTTTACAGTTGCTTTTTGTATTTCTGCTTCTGTCTCCTTGAACCCCAGTCGGCCTCGGCAGATGGCCGCTCACACTGAGCCTGGTTCTGCTGTTAAAAGGGAGTTTTTCCTCTCCACTGTCGCTACAAGCATGCTTAGTGTGAGGGATTGCATTTGAGTCAATGAGTCGATGCAATCAGATGGTTTTCCTTAGATTGAAAACTTTTAATCAATTTGACTGTATGATCCGGTGAACTGTAAAGTGCCCTGAGATGACATGTGTTGTGAATTTGGCGCTATAGAAATAAACTGAATTGAATTGACTCCAGTAGAACTTTTTATGGCCTACCTGGAATGGGTGACAATGGTTGAATAAAGTTTTGGCTCTCAAAATGGTACCGGTGCCCTATTTGTCTGTACTCGCCGATACCGATATCACCATTTCAGTGCTGGATCGGGGCCCCGCCCGATACTGGTATCGGTATCGGTGCAACACTAGTCTTAATGTATTCTGATCTGTATTTTAAATGGTCCATTCAAACACATGAAGGGTTGATTTATATCACTTGATTTCAGCTCTCGCTTCTTTCCGTTTACCATTTAGCGTCTTTGTGCCTCTGAAAAGAGGAACTCTGCTTCAGGTTTCATTCCTTTGCAGCCTTTAACAGGTTTGTTCCAGGATATTAGCTTAGCTAATAGAAGAGCTGGATTTAATAGTGAGAAGTAATTGACTACTGTTGGACTTTAAATGAGATTAATGTAGAGTTATATGTATGTTTTTAATAGTTCACCTGTATCATGTTTCCTTTTTATTTTCCATTCATGTAAAATCCCAGTAAAACATGGTGAAGTTTTGCGTTTACAATGTGGCAACACACACCAATAGCACAAACCACCAAATACACACACATACACACTCATAATTATACATGAGGACAGAGGCGATTCTAGAGTCTGTGGGGGCCCCAAGCAAAAAATCCTAGGGGGCCCTACTGACCAGTGTTCATCACCATTATGTTAGGCTATAAATAATCTGACACCAATGAAAAATGTATTAAATAAAACCTTTTTTTATTCCAAATGTTCTAAACATGAACAACCTTGTTATTTTGGAAAATATAAAAGAATAAAAGTAAAGAATAAACTAATAAATTAAAATAAATGCATAATAAAATAAAAATAAAAACAGTAAATTACTTTAAAAACCCAATATAAACTTTGTACAAAATATAAAGTATAGTAAGTGTAGTGAAATTATTGGGGTCCTATACTGCTTCCAGAATTGCTGCTTACGGGCCTTGGCTTGTGCAAATGCAGACACTAAGGCCCCATCCACACGAAGTCAAAACGAACATGAAACGCTAATATTTTCCAGAACATTTGTCGTAAAGACGGAGACGTAAAATAAATGTGAAAACGCTGCAAAATGTATGCCAGGCCTGTAAGTGGCGCTGTCGTGCCAAAGCAAAAATAGGCGACGAAATGTTGGGCATGCGCACTAATATTTATACATGGTTGCCCTGCGGGTCCATTTTCGTGGTTCAGTCAAATTCAGGTGCTGAACTATGTGGTCTATATTGCTCTGTTCTTCCTGGAGATATTCCAGAAGAAGAAGATTCTGTTGTAAGCCCGACAGCAGGGTGAGTAGCATGAGCAGCAACCATTCAACACAGTACGGCGCCATTGTTGTTGTGATACTGTGTCGCGCATGCGTGTAAGAAAAAAAATGCGGTTAGAGCTTAAAGATGGAAACGCGAAAACGGCGTTTCAAAATCTTCCCACTCTGAAGGCTGAATAAAAAAAAGATTGTTTACAGACCCCCGAAACGCCGGCTTCGTGTGGATGAGAGGCTAGTTTGGTGAAAAATTTGTGCGTTTAGGCCAGGGTTTGGCTTCGTGTGGACGGGGCCTAAGTCCTCCAGATCCAAAGACCTTCGCACACTATACTCTATGGAAATAAGCGCCAGTCCTGAAAGTCTCTCTTGAGACATGGAAAATGAATAATTTTCCTTCAGCTTAGTTACATAATTGCTTTCCAATTTACTGAACGACTGGCCTACAACGTCAACCATTCGCTAGGCTACGTTCATTTTCATTAAGGGAAGTCATCCACCTGGGCTGGGCTGGGCTGGATTTTGACTGGGCAAAGCCAATGTCAATCAACATTCCATCCAATCGGAATTTTTAAATGCAGTTGTGCAACTCCTCAGTCACTATAGCGTTGCCACTTCATGCTCGTCTGTTGCTGTTTATCTACCGGGTGTACAGTAGCTGGCTCTCGGGGGCCCCCCAGCGGCTCGGGGCTCCAAGCAGTTGCTTGGTTTGCCTGTTGACAAGGTGCGCCTCTGCATGAGGACAATCTGTAATAACGTATTGTCCTATGAGTCATGTTTTTGGATGGTAAGAGGAAGGTGGAGTACCCAGAGAGAACCCAACCTTACAAACCCATTACTGCAACCGTCCTACCAATAGTAAAGCCGAGCAGCCACATATGTATTGCATTGTTTTATTCAGATGCAAATTATTGTCTCAGGTGTTGCTGCCATAACTGTGTCAGTTAAATACTACGAGGTTTAATATAGCAGGCTTATCTCAAGATGGAGTTTAACCCAGTTTTCCTGGTTTTTATTAATTGTAACCTCGCCTGAACTTTCTCTTCTCTTTCTGGGCTGTATAAACGATAGAGGAAAAACCCTTAGTGCATGTTGATGATAGAAGGAAATGTTTTTTTGTTTTTTATGTTCACATGGCTTCCCTTTGTGTCGATAGTTGAAAAGGTGACTGGCAGAGAGCTCCATGACTGCCGTGGGGAGGGGCGCCACCGCAACACCTGCTCCATCTCCTTTCCTCCTACCTTTGGGAGCCATCTGCCCACCTGCTTCCATGGTAAAGCAGACACACCCTGCCCACGGTTCCTCCCTAGTACCCTGCAGCTAAAGTAAAGCTAGTCTGCACAGGAGCACAGATGCAGACAGAGCTCCAACATGCCTGGCCACCATACCATAGGAGGGAGGGATCAACGTAGCTGTGGGTCTTTTGTGTAGCTGCCACCACTTAAAAAAAAGCTCCCTGCCAAGCCGTGTTTGCTCTCCTTTATTCCCACCTGTCATCACACTGCTTGCTTTCATCTGTAGGGTGCAGCCTAAAGACCATTCCTCGAGGCAGAGAAGACATTATCTCAGTGGAGTAAAAGCGAGAGGTAAAACGGCAGAGCCGATCGTTTTATGGTAGGAGCATGGTGTACAGAAACGAGGTTAAGGTGAGGAGCTCCGGCTACTCGCTGAAGAACACCCCTGTACTTATTGTTGTGATTGCTGTTTTGATGATTATTCTTTGTATTTATCTGGAGATGATGATGACATTCCCTTGGTGACTGTTATTATAATGCCCCGTACGGTGGCTGGTATGATATTATGAATAAAATGGTTGCTTATTTTACCTTTGGTGTCTCTGTGGGTCATCCTGTTTTATTTGGTGGTAATAAAAAGGTAAACACAACTTTGCTCCACAACTATCAACCTTTCCAAAGATAATGAATGTTTACAATGAAGAGTGGAGTAGATATTAATATATAAAGGTCCCTGTTATAATAAATACAATAAACAAATAGATGAATCATTAATATTTACCAGTGGCACGGGAAGGGGGGTGCTATGGGGGCTGCAGCCTCCCTCGTCATAGCATCAGCCCCCCATGGTGGGGGGCTGTGGAGTAACATGATATTGTACTTAAAAACATGAAATTATTTATGTATTTATTTTTTAAAAGACTGTGTTTGATATGGGATTAAAATAATGGGCTGTGTATAAGATATAAACAAATGATTCATTATTTTGATATTTCATAAAAAAACTAGGCTACTCCCCCAGAAGCATCCACCACCTCACATTCATTTAGGCATGGCTAGCAATAGGCAGCAGAAACGTATTTCTGACAATTTCGAGGTAAGAAATGGTTTTAATTCCCCTATACTGCCGCATTTAGCGTTATTTATGTGCCTATTCGTCTTAGTCCTGTGGCTGAAGAAGTCTACGCTAGAATAAGGCTGCATATCACTAAATATTATATAAATATTAAATTAGTTAATTTTTTTTTGTGTGTGTGTGTGTTTTTTGTTTCAGATATGAAATCATTCCCCCATATCCATAGTCGAATGGACTTTCAAGACATTCAATGCTCAGTTTAGGCTATATTTAGGCCATGTTTTATTCAAGTATTCCTGATCCTGTTGATTGGGAGCTGTTGTTTGTTTTGAATGATTAAAAGAGAAGAAATAAAGTTTAAAATGTTCATCCTTTGTTCCGATGCATTTTAAATGGAAGGTTTTTGCGACAAATGTAGGCCTACAATATTATGTTAAAAACGTCAGCCACAGCCCTCAACATAATGACGTCATGTGTTTTCCAACCCAGCCATCAGCCCCCCTCGCTTGAAACAGCTTCCAGCGCGCCTGATATTCACTGTTGTGTGAGTTAATTTCTAAGGCAAAAAGATTAGGTTTTATAAGTCATAGTTAGGATAATAGGTTATTAAATTAATTTTATTAAATTTGTAGGCTAATTTCCCCATTCTGGAACAATAAAGTGATTTTCTATTTTCTATTAATATCAGTATTAATCCAACTGTTCAGTCAAGACCTCAGAGGTTTCTTAGAGAACATCTGTGAACAAACTGCATCATGAAGCCCAAAGAACACAGCAGAGAGGTCAGAGGAAAAGTTACGGAGATGGTTTAGGCATTTAAAATATCCCTGGCCTTCAACATCTCACAAAGCACTGTTCCATCCAGGTGAAAGCCGAAACCTACTGAGAAGCTGATAGGCTGGTCAATGATCAGAGAAGATGCAGAAATGTGCAGCTCATCTGTTAAAATAACTGTTTGTCATGCACTCCACAAATGTGACCTTTTTTATCAAAAGAAAGCTCCTGCTTAGAGGACAGAGGTAGCAAGATTTAACTTTTTGGTCGTCATGCTTCACTGTTTGTTGGCCAGATAACTGCTTATCTTTATTGTGTTTCTTTTTCACATATGCTCTTAATCCAATTTGATAGAGACTGAAAAGAAGTAAAAGAAGAAGAAAGGGAAATGATCTGTCTCTAGCAGAAACATAAAAGGAACAGACCTACAACAGGTTTCCTATGCAGATTAAGGGGCTTTTGAAAAGCCTAGACCTAAAGGAGCTGAATACAATGCATGGCAATCTTATAAAGTTAGAGTTTTCACTTCACAATCATACAATACTTCTTCTGCTCTATAACATCACTAATACTTTATGTAAGGCATGTTATTAGCCCTTGAGATTGTCAGTATGTTTAGCTAAAGTGTTGACAGAGTACTGCAAAGATAGAAAACATCTTAGAATTTAGTTGCTCAGTAAAGCGCTATCACTTTGACGCATATTTTGTTGTCTGACGTTTAAAATGGTTGTTTTTTTAAGTGATGCAACAGATAGAAACTAGTTTTGATAAAGCTAGGGGAGAGTGTTTTTTTTTTTCCTTCAGTTTGTGTTTGTTTTTCCTCCAGCGAGCTGAAAGAAATGCTGGTTCAGCACGCCGTAAACGACCCACAGGGGCCCGTTCTTAAACGTAGCCCTCCTCCAGAAACTAATTTCACCGCGGGGCCTTGGCTCACCATCCCAGCAGCCCTCTGGCCCACATGACAACAGGCAGCCTGTTTTTCCCTGCAACATAGCAACACTGCCCTGAGCTAGTTCCTGACTCTTGACAGTCAAAACACAACGCTGGCCAAGGTGACAGGAGCTGTGCATGAAGCATGATAAATACACCTGGGGTGGGATGCTGTAACCATGTCACACTGGCTGTTGGATCCACATGATGTCACTGGAGGAGATTTGAATGCATAATCAAAAGTATGAGCCACATATTTGCCTTGCTGAAGTCTTATTTTCCAGGGAGGAATGTTAAACAAAAGTGCTCTGGGTGTGAGTTCAGGGCCGCTGACAGAGAGCAGCTGAACCAGACGTTTGAGTGTCAGATTTCAAAGCTCCAGGGGCAGCTCGAGCCTTACAGGGGCTACGGCAAGGTTGAAAACTCAGTCTGGAGGCCTTATCCAGTAAATCTAGAGCATAGTCCTCTGAAAGATGGAATCTTTTTTCCCCCATTATTGTGTAAGGACTTTGAGTCATTGACTTTCAGTGTTCCTGAGAAGACGGCGTAATACGCCGCCTTGCCCTCACATCGTCTTCAAACAGCCTGTTGTTTGTCCTGAAGGACAGTGTTCTTGTGTTTATATGCCCTCATACATATCAACTACTTGCAACTCGGTTTGTGTCATCCTCAAGGTGCCTGAAAATTAGGTTTCAATGTCAGCAGAGAGACACATTCCAGACAAAAATAACACAGCTTTCACCTCCAGGCTGTTCAGCCTCCCCTCCTGTCACGAAGCAGCGGCTCAACCTGAATCCCCTCCCATCTAATAACACCAACTTGCACAAGCAACGCATTCTTCTTGCATCAACAGATGAACTTCTTTCCATATAACAGCCGAGCTGTCAGGAAACCATGGCGAGTGTTTATGGAGCGAAACGGGAGGCTAAGGGAAACTTTGCTGCGTGGCTCTTTGTTGCTAGAACTCGAGGAGGATTGGATTCCTAAAAACTTGTACAGCAACAACAAAAGAAAAAAAATGGCGTCACACTCTGAGTCAGAGACGCAGTGTGCCCTGGATGAACTTCCTGTTTCAGATATAGGGTTTCTCCAGCCAAGTCACATGCAGGAAGTGAGTCACACTTATTCACCAGCCGTCTGCAGGCTGCAGACACCTCAAGCCCCAGAGTGACAGGCTGTGAAGGGGACCAAATTAGCCTCTGAAACTTTAATCTCCAACAACTCAATTATTTAATATCTGAGCCACCCACATCAAAGGAATACCTTAGGTCCCTCCTCTCTGGCTGCCTTGATGGAGGCTTTCAATACTGTGTCCTGGAGGACATACCCATTTTGCAAGGCTGCCATGGTGCTCGCTCTGCTGAACTCTTGCAAATCAAAGATGTTCTGCAGAAATAAACCGCAGTGCACGTACATAAAGCTGCACACCACATACAGTAATTACCGAGGTCATTTTAAAATTTCCGGTGAAATCTTTAGCTAAATATCTTCTAGCTTCAGAAAACAGTCTGTGCTCATTCAAAAGAGCAGGAGGACACGATAACAGTGATTTTAAATGTAGAAAACTATAAAAAGAAACTTAGAAGTTTCTATTTCTAAGTTTTAAACTTTTCCAAGCTCAAATTTTAAACCTTCCTGACAGTCACTTCAATATTGTCATCATCTGAGTTGAAAAAAAAACTTTGTTAAATTTTTATTTTCCATAAATCACCCAAAAAATAAGCACAATCCAGAGGCTGGCTTTTCATTTATTAATTTAGTATATTTATGCAATTAGCTTTATTTTTTTTTTTTTTCAGAATTCTTTTTTTACCAAGCTGACTGAATTGTTTCGTAAAATGCCTTCAGGTGAAACGTGTAACGAAATGACGCTATTCAAATAAACTGAACTGAAATTAATTAAAGGAAATTGACATTTCTTTTTTTTCTGGTAGTTGCACAAGCCGAAGTTTGCAAAAATGAAAATATTTCATAATGTATCATGATGATTGTCTTCTAATTAAAACTGTTTTACTTTAACAATTATGAATGTGTGATTTGCTATATCAGTTTGTACATATATGCATATATGTATGTATGTTTACTTAGATGGAAGGGATTAAAAAAGCAGTATGACCTTTTTACTTGTTGATTTAGACAAACTGTGTTTATAAAGAATAAAAAATAAATAAATGAGAATTAAAGTCTGAAAGTATTTTACACAATCCATTTCCCCTGTCGATGTACTTATGTATCCTAACTTGGAAAATACGATTCTATACTTTTGTTTACTGATAATTCAAGGTAGTATTAAAAACTCCTCATATATCAAAACATACACATTAGAAAGCCTTTTCTTTTCTATCATTAATCATAATCATAATAGATATAAGTACTTTGTTAAACTCTTGGATCTATGAACTTGAAATGAGGTGCCTTGGTAAAATGAAGTTGTCAAACAGAGTATAAAGCACAGAAAAAAATGCCCCCAAACATATAAAGCTTTAGGAAAGAGGTTCTAAATGATTTCCAATTGGTCTTAATTTTTGTCTCATGCTGCAGCATAACATACATTCCCAGACCTGCGTAACAAATTCACTCAATGGAAAAGTGGATCAGAGAAGTGGAAAGTTAATCCCCAAGACCGCTACAGCTTGAGACAAAAGAGAGCGGGGGCTACAGCAGAGGCAGACAGACACAGGCTTTTCTGTCTCTGCAGACTTAAAGGCAAGGTCTCACATATCCTGCTGCAGAGTCATTTCTCACGCAAAGCTGGACGGCAGACCTACATATATCCAACACTCTCCTGCTAATCCGTTTAACATATTTGGA